TCTTGAAGGGACTCAGTGCCTTCTGCCCCAGGAATTTGCACGTGCAGTTTTCTCTGCCTGGGACAGTCTCCCCTAATTCTTTAGCTCCAACTCCTTGTAGAGGTCTTTCCTCAAATGTCACTTTTCCAGAGAGGCCTTTTCTGAATCCCCGCACTAGAATGTGTTTATTTGCTCAGCATGGGAATTTCATGAAGAGAGGACTATGTCCGTCTTTTTCATACTGTATTCCCAGCATTAAGCATGTGTAACAAAGCATGAACTGAATAAACATTTGTGGATAGAATAAGAAAATAAGAACTCAGCTTTGTGACAAGACTTAAGTCCTCTTCCTAATATATTCTTTGGTGTCTTTACATTGGAAAAGGTCTGGAGTCTCACTACAAGTCTCCAACTATAATAATGTTAACTCCCAGGCACTACAAAAATATAACCTCATCAGTGACATGCAACAGTCCTATGAACTGGGGATTCTTATAACCTTCATCACCCAGATGAGGACAGCGAAGCTAACAGAAGCAATGTCTGTCCCCCCAAAGTCACAAAGAGTCATTGATAAAAACCAGGATGTAGACACAATGGGCAGAGGCTACCAGACCCAGGACTCATCCACCTCACTGTCTCCACCAAGGGAATTGAGAATGCCTAAACCTGAAGCAAGGCGTCTGGTTAGACTTCAGGAGGCCCTATCTGAATTCAGCTCATGGGAGCCTCACCGTTGTAAGGAGAAATTGTAGGGGAGACCAGGAGCAGGTGAAAGCATTACCTTCACGAGGAACACAGGCTTCTGCCAATCCCAGGAAAAGCAGAACCAGAAGGGACATCTTCAGAAATGGCTCTGATCTGCACATAGCGGGGCCAAAATTGAGCTTGATGTTCTTCTCTCAGGATGAACAGGACTCTGGTCACCCACTGTCTTCCCAGGCTCCTAGGGCAAAACTCACATCCCACACATGCCCTCCAGCTCACCTGGAGGCTGGCTGATGACCAGACCTGTGCTCACAGGGCCAACTACTGATGAAGGAACTGCTTCTTCCCATTGGGATCTGCTTAATTATCTTAGAGGAACATTCTAGAATAATTTTATGCTAAGCATGATGCTTGTCATTCTATGACCCTCAGGCCAAATTCTCCCTGTCTGTTGTCTTTGTAGGGCCCATAACCTAAGAATGATTTTTATATTTTTAAATGGGGAAAAAAAGACAAAAGAAAAAGATTTCATGCCGTGTGAAAAGTATATCAAATGCGAATTCCAGTGTCCACAAATAAAGTTTTAATAGAACGCAGCCATGCCCATTCATTTATGTATTGTCTGCGGCAGAGTTGAGTAGTTGTGACAGAGGCTGTCTAGCCCATAAAGCCTAAAATATTTTCTGTCTGGCCCTTTAAAGAAGTTCATGGACCCCTGTCCTAGACAAATTGTAAATTTTAGAAAAAAACCCAAAGCAAACAACAACACCTATCAGACTTCTACTCAGAGATAAGTATAATCTTTACATTTTTGTTGTATTCCCTTCTAAAGATGTCGATGCATGTCTCTAGCACTTACCAGCCATGTGCCTTGAGCAAGTTACTTAACCACTTTGTGGTTCAGGTTCCTCATCCATAAAATGAGCGTAATGGTATTTCCAACCTCATAGTATTGTTGAAAAGATTAATCGCATTATATCTGTAAAGCTTATAGAACAAAGCACAGATTCTCTCTCTCTCTGAATATATTAAGAATGTGGTAAAGTATATATCACATATATACATATACTTTATATATGTATATTATATATGTGATACCTAATATACCCTTGCACATCTTATGATCTTTTTATGCATAAAGTATTTAAACTGCTTTATTACTTATGCACAATGTTTAATTTGGATCAAAGCTGACATAAGCCAAATTGGAATTTCCCAATAGGGGTTATTTC